TCGGTATATCTCTGCCTGCGGCGACAGTGGTTTGCCGACGATTATTCAAACATCAGTTTTATAGCTGATATTGGCGAGTGCCCTCTGTACAAAAAGGAAGTGGTGGCAGTGTGAAGGGTTAATTGCGTAATTAACCTGACCCAGTAACAATCGCTCCCAGGCTGCCGGCACACAGGTTGTGGTCCATTAGCTGGAAAATCCTTGTGCAAGGTGCAGCTGGGTGTGGCATTGTTACGCACGTGACAGCGCGGTTTTAGATTGGCTAGTCCTTCGGTCATGAGTTTGGTGAGAAGGGCTGGGGTCTGACGCCGCAATCGTTACAGAGGTGCCTTAGGAGGTGCCTTAGAAGGTGAGGCTTAGTAGACCTTTCCCTGGGCTTCCTTTGCTTAAGCAAATTATTGCTCTTGTTATAATACTATCAAGTGTCCGTCCAAAAACACATTCCACGAACACCATGTGGGTCAGGTGCTCTTTGGATGCCTAATCTGCAGAGCAGCACTTTAACCAGAGCACTCTGTGCATCTACTGTCAAAAGTCCAAAATGGGAAACAAGCCAATTGCTTCCAATAGGCCATCTCAGCTGAAGTCACCTGCGCAATATCCACTGCCACAGTGGAGAGATCTGCCTTAGAGACTTGGACCATTCTGCAGAGGTTTGCAAAATTGAAATTGCCACCATAATAAGAGAAAGGACAGGGTCCGCCAGCAAGAACTGTATTTTAAAGAGGTATTGTAAGGGGTTTCCAGCAAAGAGAATCACGATCAGGATCACGATTCGCAGAAGAGCAGATTATGCGCATGCGAGCAGCCGGTTATGCGCATCACGCGCATGCACGCAGGAATACGCGATCACGCACATGCACGCACACAGTGAAGATTGGCGCCAGACGGGCTATTTAAAGAGGGTCTCTGCTCTGGTTCAGTGCTGACTGGTCTTCAGCTCCCTCGTGTCCTGCATACTCCTGTACGATTCCTTTGTTGCTGACCCGGCTTGTTCCTGACCCGACTCCGATTACTCTCCTGCTCCTGGTTCCTGACTTCGGCTCTGCTCCTGATTTGGCTTTTCCTACTGATTCTGTACCGCGCTGCCTGACTGTTGATGACCCTGACTATCCTATGACCCTGCTCCTGTCCTGTGTCCTGGCTACCTACATTGCTCTGCTGCACATCGGGCATTACCCAGAACCTGCTCTGTTACTACGGTACCCAAATCAGAGGATACTCTGCCTGCCAAGGTCATCATCTGCAAGAGCCGCAAGCAACAACCACTGACGCTCTTGTCCCCCTGGTCCCTAGACTCCCTCTGTTCCAACCTCAGCGGGGTCAGGGCTAGTGACACAAGCGAGGCCGACCTCGTCAATTCAGTCTCCTATCAGGTACGTGACAGGTATTCCAACTGCTGATTGGTAGAATCCATGAATGTAGAAATGCCCTCTACTGCCCTAGTGGTTTTCATAGTAAGGTAAGACACTTGTTGATCCACAGTGGGCGGACACCACTATTTACCAAAATCCATTCCATACTGGAACAAGTCCAATAAGCAGCCAGGGGTTTTAAAGACATGTCAGAGTGTTTCTAATCTCCACAGAAGAAAAATAATTTGAAGACAGGATTCAACTGAAAGATCTTTGATGCACACTGCATCAACCAGCCCAAACCTTCTCTTTTAATTTTGGCCTAAGTGCAGAAGACTCTTCCAGCATAAGGATAATCTTGTCAGGGGGAGATTGGAGCATCTCAGAAATACTCACTGAAGCCATTAGGACAGTGAACAGATTAGCTATAAACTTGTTAGCTCACTTATAACCTCTTTGATTTGAGATAGCCAGAAATTAGGAGAATTGGGCCACAAGATCTTTCATAACTAGTAGAGACCCAGTCAATAAGGCAGTGCACTTGGAGTCCTCCCTAGCTCTGTCAGTGGAAGCCAAGGACAAAAGCCTATAATCATAGCATAAAAGGATTCCAGATTGAAGACAGGCACCTTCAGGGGGCACTGAATAGACTACACTAGAACCATTAGTGGAATGTGAGCTGGGATCACCTGTTGCAGCAGAACTATTCCCTCTGTGTCTAGAAACAGGCATGTTGCAGCCACGTAGTGGTAAAATAATGTAAGCTCAGAGTACAAGGCAGGGTCTCAGACACTAATAAAACCCAGACAGTTTGTAGCAGGTAAGGGTCAGATGACCAGAGGTAACCAAAATCATTGTAGAAGGGTAGAAGAAACAGACCGTGAGTTTCACATTGCTTCCAGCGCAGGAGCAGAAGCAGTCAAAGAGCATCTTTAGTAGCACTGTAAAGAAAAGTCTTAATTGAAATTAAAAAAAAAAAAAAAAAAGTTGTTTTACAGCCGAGCTGAAGAAAAGATGACCATCCTCCTAGGACACCGAAACCTGAAGGTGAAAGACTTCCTGTTTCCCTCAATGGATGAAAACAAATTAAATAACATAGCCAGCAAGACCAGTAAGTTTGTTCATAGCTTGTCTATGAATAAACTCAAATTAGCATTTTGATTTGTGATGAAAGTTGCAATCACATGCTCCTTTTCATAGTGATAACTTGAAAATCTTCTTGAATAAACAGTTATTTGACAAAATTTTTAACAAATCTTTTCAATTACATAATTCCTACCTAGAAGTCCATTAGGAATACCAAAATTGAATTAGTTCATGTATAAGTAGGACGTTGCAAAATAGGTCTTCATAAAACTAGAAAGGCCACTGTCCAAAAACCTAAAACACAGCTTAATTAAATAAGCATGTGCAGCTTAATATGGTCTCCCCAAAACAAAGTAAACCACATATCCATAGAATGTTATTCTGTAAGATTTATAGAATGGTATTTGTGACTTTCTAGAGAGCAAATAAGAATGTTTTTGTGCAGATTAATGCATAAGAGTGCACTTTACAGATATTGCATTTTTTCCATAGGGACAACTTGTAAACTAACAAGAAAACAATTATACAGTTTTATAAATAACATCATGAAATAAATAACAAAAATATGTGTGGGTAATAGCACAAAATAATTAAAACATTGGAAAGAAAAATATTTGAACCAAAACTGCAGCAAGCAGGACTTACTAAAAGCACACAAGACTACAAAGTAACATCTGTCCCATTGAAAAAAAAAAATGTAAAGTGAACTCACTAGAGCCAATTTATTCCACCTCCACTTAGGCAAGTCATACAGGACATGAATGTAAAAAAATTAACCGATTCCCCTATCCACCTATTCATTGTGAATGGGGTACTGCCTCCCATTGTTTTATTGTATTCTACCAGCGGGGAGCCTTCCCATCGGCAGAACACAATGATCAGCATTTCTGGCTATAGCCGACAGCACTGATCTTCCAGGAAAAACCTGGCATGTTGATTATACACAAGTCAATCGATAGATTGACTTGTGTACAAACAGCTACCCCATACATGGATAGAAATTTGGCTTGCTGAACCGGTCGAATTTCAATCCACGTATGGCTGGCTTTACTAAAGATTTTATCTCATAGATTAGCTAAATTTACCACATAATTTTACTGACTTTTGCAGTTTCGTATATTAAAAGTTAATTCACAGATTATTGTGGAGATTACTACTTCATAAAGCAACTCTTTACCCAAAAAAAAAAAAAAAAAAAACAAAAAAACTTTCCAATAAAGCTGCCCCTGCAAAGAAGAAAAATACCTCTCCGGCTGCCTGAGCTCACTGCGGTATTGAAGAGACACTGTCATCTGAAGATCCAGCACAGTCTGACACGTGGAAATCTGGGAGTGCCGGTGAACTCCCCAATCCAAACACATCCACAACCTGGGAACTGTGGTTTCTCCCACCAGTTCCTACATCACTACAGGACACTACAGTGACATAGTAGACTGAACTGCTAGGAGCAGCAAGGACCAGAAATCAGCATTTCCAGTACTGTAGGATTTTGGAAGCTTTTCAGTTGGTGGCTATGGACTTGATGAGCAGCTGGAGATATTGCAAACTTCTGTATGGTGTTAAAATGGGAGTTTCTATGAGATGTCTATTGATGACAGAAAATAGAATTATCTCTGGTGGAGAAAAAATCCCAGTTCATCAGAAAAAAAAAAAAAAGGCTTTCAGTGGTTAATTATTTTGTATATAAGAGAAACAATTCTACAAACTTGGAAGTAGTTCTGTATGTTAATTCAATATTTTAATAATAGTCAATTACCTTGATAATATAAGAAACTTGGTTCTAAAAAAAAAAAAAAAAAAAAAAAAGAATCATGTGGCTTAGCTAACTGAAATGTTTCTGCTTTAGGTACAGTCTAACCATTTGAGGACTGGCATGTTACACTGCCTTCCTGTCCACACCATTTTTCAGTTTCATACTGACAATTACTGCGTCATGCTACACTGATTTACTGACAAATGATTTAAAAAACAAAGTTCCCTTACTTTTGTTGGTAAACATAGCAAATAAAAATGCCGGGACAGTAATAAAACCCCTGAAACAACCTCTTATAGTATAGCAGACAAGTCATGGTGTGATCTTCATTTTTTTTTTGCCACAATTTTTGAAAATAAAAAAACATGCTGATATTGAGGGGGTTAAAACACTGAGCACATGATACAAATATATAGGTCATACAGAGGTGAAGGAGTTAGTGTACAGGTTACATACAGTGGGGGGATTAAGGGGTTATTGTGCGGATGTGTAGGATAAGGGTGGTGAGGGGTTAATACACAGATCAGACCAGAGATAGAATGGAGCAGACCTAGGCCTCTTGCACACTTACCTTGCAGCGTATAAGAGCGTTTTTTATTTTTTGCATATATCCGTCCGCTATAGTTATGTTTACATGAGCACTGCCATATACCTAGTACAGCCATTCATGTGTATGGATGGCTGTACACAGCACCTGGGCTTTCAATTCTGGAATTTATGTAGCATGAGCTCAAGTGCAAGAGGCCATATACTGTGGATGGATGAATGACAGAGGGTTGAATGATACCATTTATGGCAGGGCTTGAAATTTCCACTCGCCATTATGGTAGGGGCGAGTCTGTCCCCCAGGGCCGTCTTGCTGAGCAGGCTTGGAGCTCAGGCCGGATCGGTTATTGGCACTGGGAGCCGTCAGATTGCTCAATAGCTGAGCGCAGTGAAAGAAAGGAGTGTGTGCTGTGCTCTCTGCCACCCCCTAGAGTGCAGTACCCGGCTCTGTGAGTGAACAACGAAGTACTGCAACTTTGTATGGGGTGTGTGTGTGTATCTGTACATGTGTTTGCGTGTATGTACATGTGTGTGTACATGTGTCTGTATGTATGTACGTGTCTGTGTGTACATATGTCTGTGCATTTACATGTATCTATGTGTATGCGTGTCTGTACGTGCCTGTGTGTATACATGTGTCTGTATGTGTGTGTGTGTGTGTACATGTGTCTCTGTGCGTGTGTGTACATGTTTATGTGTGTGTACAGGTGTCTGTTTGTGTGTGTTTGTTGGTGGCGAGTAACTAAGGCCTGGCTAGTAGCTCAGGACTTGAAATTTTAAGCTCTGATTTATGGTAATTGATGACACTGGCACTAATACCATTACTGGCTGTGAGCAGGAAGCTTTCTTTTGTCTTACACATTGATTGGTGTGTGAGAAGAAAGTGAAAGCCGGCTGCTAACTGCAGCCATTATTTACATTGTATGATGCTGTGAGTGGTCACAACAATCACATGATTCAGAGCCCATTTAGTTGGCTCTGTACCATCTGTTTGTGAGCTGCACTATCCAATGTTCATTGAGCTCACAGTACAGTGCCTGTGCGTGTACTACGGGGTGCATAAGAGCAATTAAAAAAAAACACCTTTTAAAACATCATTCTGACCTTTGAAGGATGCGGTCTGTCTAGGGTGCAGGAGAATTTTGTTAAGGTGTAATAAACCACATACAAAGCATGGAGGTGTAAAACAGGTGCTACATGGAATCCTGTGCACGCATCCTCTGTTGATTATAAAAAGAAACTGATCTCTGGCTAAAGTTGTCCCTCTCCAGTATATTTTCCAGCTTTTCCCTAAAGGCATGACTGTCATTACCCAAAATACAGATAATCTGAAAAGTCATAGTTTATGATCAGCCATATAAACAGACTCAGTGACTATTCTACTGAATCTGCACTAGCAGCCACCACTGGGTGACGTGTATACAAAGACAATATCACAGGGGTGTCCAAGTATTCAGGTGGATAAGAAATACTCCTCAGTTGAAAATGTCTGTGATTACCACACCTGCGGTGATGTAGCGTCTTCAATGCATGGTGCACTCTCCCAAAATGTGAACCAAGGAGGGGTGCATTTTCCTTTTCAATATATTGTTCCCAGATAACATTGCACAGCTCCCTATAAATAAATATGGAATAGAACAAAAAATCTAAAAGCACACCTAAGCATTCAGAAACATGGCTTCGTCTGAATCGGGGTCCTTTCCACTATCCTCACTGGGAAGAGAATCTCCACCACTTGGAGACCTACAGCTTAAGTCCTCCACCCCAGACTCCTGGTCACTGTTGGCAGACAGGTCTGGATCAGAGCTTTTCAAGTGATCCTGAGTAAGAATGAGGGCCGAGTCATCCTCACCCTGGGATGGGCTGCGGGAAGGGAACAACTTCAGGTTGTTGCTGTAATCTTGGGGAGTGTTAACAGGAGAGTTCTTGGTGATGCACATCTGGAATGTATTGATTTTTGGCTGCTCATTAAACTTCTTGTTTACTTCATTGGTTTGACGAGTTTCCAGCTTTGCTAGTCTCTATATAGTGACATAAAAACATCCTATTATCAGTTTCAGTTAACATGCTTTACAGTAGATCATTTGATGATAGTGGAGGAGGTTTATCAATTTTTATAGCAACGCAATGCCATACAAGAGCAATGAAACATACTGTATTATTAAGGAGATTTACTAGAAGATTGTAGCTCGATTCATAAATTCCTTCTTCTGCTGCTCTAAGCCAGCACTGCAACAATAAAGAACCTTCCTCTGACCACATCTTAAAATGGCCAAAACTTTCAAACAGCTTATGAAAGTCCCTGCTGCCAGAGAAAATAAGAGTAGCGGAGCTGTGATTTCAGTGCTTTTGACTGAGGTCAGGTTTTGTTTGCCTGTGTCTGCCCTCCATAAGATATGTATTCCTTAAAGGATAAGTTCACCTTTTAAGAAAAAATACATGCACATATTTCTGCAGAGAAAAAAATAAATACTTTTTTTTCCCTAAGGAGCTTGAAAAACATTGCACTCACAATCTTTGGCATTTGCAATAGTCCAGAGTCCTGCAGACAAGCGCTGCAGTTTTCAGTCAGCTATGCACTGACTTTTTACAAGCTGCATGGGCTTGTGAATGAACTATGAGGCCATTCATCAGTGACCTTGCCATCCATTCAGTAATACAAGCCATCAGCCACAAAGGCTGAGGGTACTTATTGTTTGTGCATTCATTGTAAACTGAATGAATGAGGCTGCCATGTGGGGTGAAGCCCCGCAAGGCCACATTTTTTTTCAAATGGTGACAGCAGACGTGGGGAAAAGATCCCCCGCTTGCTGTCACGGGAAGGGGGGTGGGGGGTGAGAGGGAGAGAGACTGCAGCTGCTGGACCATGTTACATGCTCCATGCTAAATACAGGTGGAATAAATAACATGTTCCATGGGTGAACGTATGCTTTTAATCAGTTGTCACCAGAACAGGTGTCCCCATTACAAGATTTCCACCTTACCTTCTGGTTGTGTAGGCTGCTAATGTAAAAAAAAAAATAAAAAAAAAATAAAAAAATTAAACCATTTGGTATCCCTTTAAAGCTCTTTGAAAATACCTTTAAATAAGTAGACTATCACTCTAGTACAGTATATTTTGCACCTATAAAGATTTGATTCACTAACAAGAAGTGTGACTGACAGCTTAGCATACTTGTTACAGATGCAATGTTTTCAATAACAAAGTGAAGGTCAGTGTTATCCTTTCTAGGTTTATGTCAAACCACACAGAAATACTCTGTAGTGAATACATGAACACCAAAGCAGTAATAGTAGTGAATACAAAAGTCACTGTGCTGCACTGTGCAGTGAAATACATGAACATTGCAGTAAACCTCTGTAGTGAATACATGAACATTGCAGTCACACAGTAATACTCTGTAGTGAATACATGAACATTGCAGTCACACAGTAATACTCTGTAGTGAATACATGAACATTGCAGTAGTGAATACATGAACATCACACAGTAATACTCTGTAGTGAATACATGAACATTGCAGTCACACAGTAATACTCTGTAGTGAATACATGAACAATTGCAGTCACACAGTAATACTCTGTAGTGAATACATGAACATTGCAGTCACACAGTAATACTCTGTAGTGAATACATGAACATTGCAGTCACACAGTAATACTCTGTAGTGAATACATGAACATTGCAGTCACACAGTAATACTCTGTAGTGAATACATGAACATTGCAGTCACACAGTAATACTCTGTAGTGTAGTGCATCACACATGAACATTGCAGTCACACAGTAATACTCTGTAGTGAATACATGAACATGTAATACATGTAGTGAATACATGAACATTGCAGTCACACAGTAATACTCTGTAGTGATGTGATACATGAACATTGCAGTCATACATGAACATGAACATTGCAGTCACACAGTAATACTCTGTAGTGAATACATGAACATTGCAGTCAAAAGGGAACATGTACCTTTTCCATGACATCCAGCTCTTCCTCAAGTTGCTGAGTTTCTTCCTTCACTGCCTGAAGAAAATCAGTCACTGACTGTCTGGGGTGCATACCTTTCTCAAAGCGATTGTAAAGACCTCTCCAAAACCTAAATAATTAAAAAAAAAGGTTAATCTTAAGCGCTGCGTAAGTTGACGGCGCTATACAAGTACCTGAAATAAATAAATCTTAATTATAGCAGAGCACTTTTGTATGATGTAAGGGCTACTATTAGTAGTACAAAATTAGGATTGATTTTAAAACCCAATTACATGATTCATTAAACAATCCACAGGCTGTTTTCCCAAATCTCCTTCCAAACCTCTCCACCCTTTTTTAAAAACAAATGCCCAAAAACCTTATAGATTTTTTTTCAGGGCTTTTTTTCCCTCAGAAAATAGGGGGCAAAAACGCAACCATGCCCCCTACAAACCCCCTCTCCACATACACTCCAAACCACATCAAATAGTGGGCATAGTCAAATTTCAGTAACAGTGGAAGGGGCATTAAATACAGCTGTTAGGGACCAGCCGGTGGTAGCCTCTAGCGTTCCACAGACCAGAATTCCCCAGGGCGCGGAATCTAAGTGCCGACCTGCTTGTTCACCAGAGCCCCTGATGGTGGGGATGGACTTGGAGCAAGCCGAGACCAGGTCGAGACCCCTGGGTGCAACCAGCTGTGGTAGAGGCACCTGTCGGTGGTACGCAGCAGGTGAGAGTCTGATGTGAAGAGGTAGAGTAAGCGGGGTCAGACAGGCCAGGTCGGTATTGGTGACAGGCGCGCCTGGGTCCTAGTGCCCGCCTGCCTGTATGTTTTGTCAGGATTCTACGCATGTGCAGATTCGATCGCTGCGGCGATCTTCCCATTCCCTGACATTGCCCCCCCCTTACGGGCAGCCTCCGGATGCCCAACCGGTTTCTCGTTTGAGGCTGGTTGTGAAGAAACTCCCAAATTAACCGAGGGGCATGAACATTTTGAGCAGGTTCCCAAGAGTTTTCCTCTGGCCCATAGCCTTTCCACTTGATGAGATACTGTGTTTACCCCCTCCGCCTGCAGTCAATAATAGCATCCACCTCGAATTCCTCTTCCCCATCGATGTCTATGGCCTCTGGGGGTCTAGGTCTACGATCTGTAAAAGGATCTGCTACAGCGGGTTTCAATAGGGACACATGAAACACAGGATGGATTTTGAAGGACTCGGGGAGTGCCAGCTTATATGCTACCTCATTAACCTTACGCTCTACCCGGAAAGGACCCACAAATTTGGGTGCCAACTTTCTTGATGGGCATGCCAGTTTCAGATTGGTAGTGGCCAGCCACACCTGGTCCCCTGGATGTATAACCAATTCCCCCCTTGTCTTTCTATCAAATATCCTTTTACTGTCCTCTTGGGCTTTTGCCATGGTTTCTTGTAATAACTTGTTATTGGTTGTAAAGAAATTCAGGGTCTCTTGAGCTGCTGGGACTGGTTTTTCCGGGATCAAATCAGGTAAGAAAGAGGGATGGAAGCCATAGTTGGCGAAGAACGGGGATTGCTTAGTGGCAGAGTGGCAAGCATTATTGTATACAAATTCCACTAGATCAGTGGTTCTCAACCTTCCTAATGCCGCGACCCCTTAATACAGTTCCTCATGTTGTGGTGACCCCCAACCATAAAATTATTTTCGTTGCTACTTCATAACTGTAATTTTGCGGGGGGAGGAATAGCGCCCCATCGTTGGCGTCAGTGGGGGGGAGGAATAGCGCCCCATCGTTGGCGTCAGTGGGGGGAGGAATAGCGCCCCATCGTTGGCGTCAGTGGGGGGAGGAATAGCGCCCCATCGTTGGTATTAGTGACACAAATGATGGGGCACTATCCCTCCCACTGACACCAATGATACTTACCTTGCTGACTCCTGCTCCAGCCTGGGCTCGCTCTCTCCCTCTCCCATCTACAGCCTGCATACCTGGCTGCAGCAGCAAAATTTGCACTTACCTGTCAGCTGTCTTCCTTCTCTGGCCTCTCTCTTCACTCGTTCCTGCAACTCCCTCGATCATCTTCGATCTCCGCGCGCTGCCGCTCGGCTCCTCCTCTCCAAGCTCCACCTTCTCGCCGGTGATTGGCCGCCTGTGTGCCTCTCCTGAGCTACAGTTCCGGTGGCCAATCAGCGGCGAGGAGGCGGTGACAGGGGCAGCATACCATCCCGCCCACACATCGCCGGAGACAGGAGCGGCATCTCGGTTCCTAAGACCATCGGAAATATGTGTTTTCCGATGGTCTTAGGCGACCCCTGGGAAATGGTCGTTCGACCCCCAAAGGGGTCGCGACCCCCAGGTTGAGAACCGCTGCACTAGGGGTAAAAGTGTCAGCCAGTTGTCCTGGAGGAACGATGTATAGCACCTAAGGTACTGTTCTAGTGTCTGTTTGGTTCGCTCAGTTTGACCATTTGTTTGCGGGTGGTATGCTGAGGAGAATGAAAGTTCAATTTCCAACCCTTCGCACAAAGCCCTCCAAAACCTTGAAGTGAACTGAACACCCCGATCAGATATAATGTTTTTTGGCACTCCATGTAGCCTTACGAATTCCCTGATAAATACCTGTGCCGTTTCTGAAGCAGATGCTGTACCTCTCAATGGAAGGAAGTGAGCCATCTACCACTACAAAAAGATCGCAGTATAGTCTTGTGATAGCGGTAATTCCACCACGAAATCCATTGCGATCATACTCCAGGGTCTGTCGGGCACCGACAGTGGTCGCAGCAGGCCCCAAGCCTGGTCTCTGGTGGGCTTGTTCCTGCTGCAGACGGCACAGGATTTGACATACATTTCGCAATCTTTGGCCATGCTTGGCCACCAAAACATGTGTTGGAGCAAGTCCAATGTCTTGTGTACCCCAAAGTGGCCTGCTAACAGGTGGTCATGGCAATAGCCTAAGACCAGAGCTTGCGTCTCGTCGGGTACTGCTCCCCCCTCCACAAGAGACCTTCCTTGTTCTGCAATGAGACTTTAGGTGGCCTAGGAGTCCCCATGGAAGCAGCTTGAAGTCTGGGTAGGAGTTCTTACTGAAGTAGCAAAAAGTTACTCACCGGCAGAATAGTATCAGGTTTGGCTGTCTCCCCAGGGTCCTCAAACATCCGGTTTAGTATTCTTAGATCCGGGCCGATACGTGATGTGCAGAGTAAACCTTGAGAAGAACAATGCCCATCTGGCCTGGCACGGCCTGAGGCGTTTTGCTGTCCTCAGATATTCTAGATTTTTATGGTCAGTCTAGACCAGGATGGGATGCAATGCCCCTTCCAACTGATATCTCCATTCCTCCAGTGCTGTCTTAATCGCTAACAACTCCCGATCCCCGATATCGTAACTCTTTTCTGATGGGGAGATTTTTCTGGAAAAGAAAGCCACTGGGTGCATCAGCTCCTTTACTCCTATTCTTTGCAACAGAATAGCTCTTACCGCATTTTCCAAAGCATCTACCTCCAGAATGTAAGGTAATGAAGCGTCAGGATGACTCAAAATAGGGGCGGTCGTGAATAGTTTTTTCAAGGCTTCAAAGGCGGTCTGTGCCTCAGGTGTCCATCGGAAATGCACCCCCACCTTAGTGAGCTGAGTCATGGGAGTTACCAGGCCCGAGAAATTTTTAATACATTTCCTGTAAAAATTGGCGAAGCCAATAATTTGCTGGACCCCCTTTTTATCCGTGGGAACTGGCCATTCTAAAACTGCAGATATTTTTTGGGGATCCATCGCAACCCCATTGGTTGAAATGATCAACCCCAAAAAGGGAATGCTGCTCTGCTCAAAGCTGCATTTTTCAGCTTTAGCATACAGCCCATGCTTGCGCAGCCGCTCCAGTACACTCCTGACGTGATCTCTATGTGTCTCCAGGGATGAGGAAAAAAATCAGGATGTCATCCAGATACACAATCACATAGACAATGACAGATATGTCATTCACAAAGTGTTGGAATGTAGCCGGTGCATTACAGAGACCGAATGGCATAACGAGGTACTCAAAGTGCCCAAAGCGAGTGAGGAAGGCGGTCTTCCACTCATCCCCCTCCCGAATGCGCACCAGATTATAGGCTCCCCTGAGGTCTAGTTTGGTAAAGATGGAGGCTGTATTTAGTCTCTGAAATAATTCAGGGACTAAGGGAAGGGGGTACCGGTTCTTCACGGTGATCTTATTCAGGTCCCTATAGTCTACGCAGGGCCTCAGGGACTGGTCCTTCTCTACGAAAAAAGATTCCTGCCCAAGCTGGTGAAGTGGAGCGGCGAATATAATCCCTTCCGCAGACTGTCATCAATGTATTCTTTTAGGGCGCCCAACTCTCGTTCAGACAGCGGGAAGATTCGGCCGAATGGGAATCTCGGATCCCGGGAGCAGATCAATAGGGCAGTCATAGGCCCGGTGCGGAGGGAGAATCTCTGCACCTCGCGGGCTTAACACGTCAAGGAAATGATGGTATGCGGAGGGCACAGTCTGTGCTAGATCTGTATCTGTATTCACACACAACAAGGTTGGGGGCCTGGTGATGACTTTAGGAGACAGTTCTCCTGGCAGTATAGTGAGTGAAATTGAACAGATCCAGTCTTCCAGTTAATTTGGGGATCATGAGCCCGTAACCACGGGAGCCCCAAAATCACTGGAAAGAGAGGGGACGCAATAGCGTCCAAGCGGAGGAGTTCCTGGTGGTGGCCTGCTACTGTGGTGCACAAAGGAGGGGTCTCTCGATCTACCAACCCTGATTTAATTTGTGAACCATCAGCCAGAAAAATAATCAAACCTTGTTCTTTGGACAAGAACGGAATTCGTTGCTGAGCTGCAAAGTTAAGGTGCACAAAGCAACTGCAGGCCCCAGAATCAATAATAGCCATTACCTGCACGGTTCTTCCTGGGAGCTGGAACGAGATGGGCACGACTACATGAGTAGGGTCATCTACACAGGTTGCAGACATAGAAAAAAATGGTAGAGTACTTACAGAGCTTCTCAGGACAGGAACGCACCATGTGACCCGCTGCTCCGAAGTATAGGCATAGATTATTCACTCTGCGTGTCTGGCGTTCCTAAGCCGTGAGAGATGGCCGCATTAACCCAAGTTGCATAGGTTCTGTTCCGTCCGCAGGTTCAGGAC